CTGTAAAAATGTACTTGTGATTATCTTATCTCACACTCCTATATATAATATGGATATTCTTGGCTCATTTTCATGGCTAGTTCAGATAAAGGTCAATATTTTTTACAGCATAATGACAGGAGGTGTAATGATTCTTGAGGTGCTGGTTTTGCAATGAGGCATAAAATTCAGACCCTAGACACTTGCTGAAGATCATATGACATTTTTCACAAATGTAAAACTGTTAGCCTTGGTGTCCTTGCTAAATTCCAATTTTAGTAATTTTATTCTATCTAAATCTCTCCCTTGAAATTTCAGTTGGGTATAGTGGTAATCTTTATTTTTGGTGCTAAAATATTATACAGTGTTCCATTGTGTTCCTGTTAAACATCTGACCACAATGGTGGTAGCATTTCAGTTCTAGATGAAGTGTGTAAAGTACTTTGGGTTGTTAGGAGCTATTTAAATACAAGCTCACAGTACTTTACAAAGTATTATTATCCCCCTTTTGCAGGTGAGGCAACTGAGGCACAAAGAAGTTATCATTAAAAACTCTTGCAGTTTTTATACAGTCTGTATGCCTTTCATTAATCTGTGTGTGTTTCTTTGAAACATACATAAAAAGGGGGGAAATAGACTTTATATGTCTGGGCTTAAAATTAGGAACTCTTCACACTATCAATAGGCATATAATCAATAAACATTCAGACAGATACTGTGTGTGATGCTGTATGAAAACAATGATGATAATTTATATCACTATTGCACAATTACGCTAAGTCTGAAACAAGGTATATCATGTAAGGTGTCAATGGAAAAGTTGTAACCTGCTAAATATGATAATCCTGTTGATATGCACATATAATCTTTGAACCTGAAGTTATGAATATTTGCTATGTATTTTTATCTCAAACATGTGTTTTGTACTTGGTGACACCCAGAAAGTTTTACATCCAGTCCAGTGTTGATGAACAATTCAATTGTTGATGGATCATTCAGGTGATGATGGGCCATTAAGAGGAATCAACTCTTCAGTGAGCTCTTACTGAAGATGTCTCAGAGAGCCTGGAGCCAATGACACACCCCCGTAATTCAGCAAAACATGTATGGACCTGTGACCTAAGACTCCATCTTTGCCCGTAGCTTTCCATGCACATGGGCTATAGGCATTGTTTGGGACAGTAACCTCTCATCATATAAGACCAATTTGTCTGGATGGGAACCAAGGGCTGGAATGCCTAAAGTTTATTGTGTTTGGCTTCTTGTTAACCAGTGTGGTGCTACAGAAACTCTTTTGTTACTGGTTTGATGAACCTAATTATAGAACAAACCATCAGTTTTTGGGGTGTGTCTGCCTTTTTCTTGCAGTCTGCCCTTAGTGTGGCTAAGGGTTGCCAACCCTCCCGGATTGGCCGGGAGTCTCCTGGAATCAGCTTCAATTTCCCAGTGACTATTAAAAGCATTCTGGGATATTTTAATAGGCCAAACATCTGGTCAGTGGTGTAGTGAGGCTAAGGCAGGCTGCATACCTGCCCTGCTTCTGCACAGCTCCTGGAAGCGGCCGACATGTCTGGCTCCTAGGCATAGGGGTGATTAGAGGGTCTCTCTGAGCTGCCCCTGCACCCTGAGTGCTGACTCTTCAGCTTCCATTGGCCAGAAACTGTGGTCAATGGGAGCTGTGGGGTGGTGCCTGCAGGCAGGGGCAGCACGCAGAGCTACCTGGCCGCTCCTGAGCCTAGGAGCCAGACATGCTTGTCACTTCCGGGAGCAACCGCGGGAAGCATTGCCTGGCCAGAACCCACACTCTTCACCCCCTCCCACATCCTGCCCCAGCCCTGTTCCCCCTTCTGCACCCTAACCCCCTGTCCCAGCCCTGAGCCCCCTCCCACACCCAAACTCCATGCCGGAGCTCACACCCCCTCCCACACTCCAACCACCTGCCCTAGCCCTGATCCCCCTCCTACACCCCACATCCCTCGGCCCCAGTCATGAGCCCCTTCCTGAATCCCACACCCCTCATCCCAGGCTCCTCCACAGAGCCTGCACCTCAACCCCCTGCCCCAGGCCTGAACCCCTTCTTGTACCCAAACTCTCTCGCAGAGCCTGAAACCCCTCCCATACCCCACCACCCTGCCCCAGGCCTGAGTCCCTCCTAGAGCCTGCACCCCCTCTCAAACACCCAACTGCCTGACCCAGCCCTGATCCCCTTCCTGCATTCTGAACCCCGGAGCCCCCTCCTGCACCCCTCATCCCAGGCCCGTCCCCAGCCACAGCTTGCCCGTCCCCAGCCTTGAATGATCCAGCCTGGAGCACCCTTACACACCCTGAACCCCCCATATCTGGCCCCACCCTGGAGCCTGCACCCCAACCCCCTGCCTCAGCCCAGTGAATTTGAGTGAGGGTGGGGAAGAGTGAGCGGGAGGTGGGGTCTTGGAGAAGGGGCAGGGCAGGGGTGTGGCTTCAGGGAAGGGACAGGGCAGAGGGCAGGGCAAGGGTGTTCGGGTCTGTGAGATTAGAAAGTTGGCAACCCTAGGGTGGCATTCTCAGTGTCATCCATTCTAGGCACTGGACAAACTGTGTAAGCTCTGACAAACAAACATCTCTGTCAAGGTTCACAAGTTCTCCATCTAAACTGAAACATCTCTTCTATTCTAGTCTTAAACCTCTCTTGAGAAAACTGTAAATTGTATGTCTGTGTCTATGTAGCTAGGTTTACATATCATGAGCAGATCAAATTTGGGTCAGGCTGCCAAACTTATTTTTGGGTAGTATTTTCAAAAGTCGCTAAATACAAGTTTTAAAAATCACTTAGGTTCTGAGCAGCCAAAGTTTCACTGAAGCTCAATGGGACTTAGGCTCCTAAGTCACATAGGCACTTTTGAAAAGGTTACCCAATATCTGTAACCTTAATCAGAATTTGAATTCTGGTCTCCCCATTAATTGACAGCATTACTTAGGCTATTCGTCCCTGGACCTGGTTCATCTCCAGTCAGAGGTACTAATGCTTTTACTGTGACTCAAAAATTTGAAATAAAAAGTTAAGAAGGCTCACTTTATAATGAAGAATGAGAAACTTACTTTTCACAGTGGTTATGCTTTTTGGACAGTTGGAGGAAAATCTACCTGTAAAACAAAAATATTTATCTCACGTAAGTATTTTATAATGTTACCTCCTGAAAGAAAATGAAAGGAACTTTTTCCACTTTCTATAAACTGCCTATAAGTATTGGCCTTCACAAACCTTGTCATTTTGACAACCTGCTATATCAGAAACTCGGGAAAGAGACCATGATGACAGATACTAACGGTTAAACTCCAGGAGCATGAGTCCAACGAGCAACTTCACTTAATACAAATTTATTTCAGTGTGCCCAGTAGACAAGCATATTCATTTTAAAACATGTGATTCCTGTGTAATTGTTTTTCAGTGTATCCTGATGAGACACAGGCTGTCTCATTCTCCATGATGGGCAAAAATAAAACCAACCTATTAACTGTAGGTCTTTCATCATGTTAACACTAAGATAAAAGGGAAAAAATCTATTTTAATTGACTTCTTTTTCACAGCTTTAAATCAGCTTTAAATCTCAAGATAAAAATAAGGGGCTTTTTTCCCCTCCCCCAGATAAATGAAGCTTCCTTTTTCCCCTCTCCCAGATAAATGTTTACTTTTCTTATCTATTTCTCTTCAATGGTTTTGACAGAAACAGGCTACTGGGTAGATTCCAAACTACAAAACTGACAATGTGGCTGTATAACAGAAAATATAATGATGCAGCAAATTTTCTGCTGGAGTTTGTTCTACATAGATGCTGTCAAAGTAAAGCATTTGCCAAGAGAAGTAACATGATATTCCTTTGTATACTATATTTTTAAAAAATCTTTTGGGATAGTTTTACTGATAAGTTTCAATAGTATCTCTACTGGCAATTCAGCCACCCACTTCACAGCACTGTATGACCACTCCTGAAAATATCAAATGCAAGATCTGCTTTGTATCAGAACATCATTTAAAATCAATACATTCCCAAATGTCAAGACAGATTTAAATAGTTCACTAAAACCTTTCCTTTGAAGAATGAGAGTGAACATGACTTAATGACTTTGGATATATTACAGACAACAATCAGTACTTCATTGAAATATTACATTCTGCCTTAAAGATGTCCTTTTTGTGAAAAAGACTTCAAAATCCTTTCAGCCATATTACCAGCTCCTCATGAACTCAGTGTTCTTAGTTTCCATATTGATGCAAAATTAAAAAACAATAGACCCAATGCCTCATGCTAAAAAGGAGAGAAACAAATAGCACTTAGAGTCAACCATCGATCTGCCCCAGCCTTCTTCAAACAATAATTAGGGAATGGATCAGAGAGGGAATTCAGCTGGTAAATGGAATTTAAAGCTAATTGCTTTCTCTATTGTTATCTATGAAAGTATTAGAAACATCTGTTTTGTTCTTTTTTAATGATAATTCAGCATATAATTTTCGTAATGAAAAATAATATACACTGTATATTTCCTAGGACTGCAAGTATCCATTTCATCACAGTATTATGAAAATAGTAGCATTAACAAAAATTAGAAGGAAGAGCTAAAAGAGATTTACATCATTCCTATATAATTAATGCAGAAGAACTGTATAATCTCACATTTCAGGCCACGGTGATTCTACTGACGTGACATGAATGTCATATGAAGAAATTGAATAAGGTATACATAGACCAGGCTTAGTTGTTATAGCTTAGGTGTAGATTTACACTCTGACACAGAGTTAGGATATGAAGATGTAACCCACATGCTTGCATTGCAGCATTTAGTGGTGTAAATAAGGAGAGAAATGGTGGGGAAAATATGTAGGGCCTTGTTTTAGTTTTGGGAATACACTGTGTGCCTGCAGACTTCCTGGACTGGGCAGGGTGACTGCTGGATGGGCCAAAATCATCCAGCAATTGGGTGTCATGGGCACTGGGTGGTGTGTGCTAATTACCTACATTGCTTCTAACAGCTAATTTCCTTTGGGGGCAAGCAGCCTGGTGGGACTACCACAGGCATGCACTGAGAATGGAACTAATAGGAGGGAACTCAAGGGGAGGGGAAAGAGTTTGCAAATAGGAGAAGTGGGAGCCAGATTGAACAACTCAATGGTGGAGCAGCTCTAGGATCAGAAGGGTCCGCTGTAAGGCTTGTGTTCCAGAGAATTTGACAGATTGTTGGATTTAGACTGCAGGTTCCTTCACACCACTGGAAAAGAAAAGAGAATGAAAATTACTGAAGGCTGTGCAAATTGCTGACTGATACTGCAAAGACTCAAACAGAGTTGGATGGAGCCTGTGAACAATCATGTGTTTCCCAGACTTTAAGGAGCTGTCATGCCCTACAGAGGGTTTGGACACCATTCCATAGAAACAAAGAAGGGTAAGTGCTCTCAGAAAAAAGCCCAGAGATGTGAGTGTATGTGTGCATGAATGATTATATCTTATACTTGTAGTAGTAACAAGTACTAAAATTTGGGGGGAAATCCTGAAAATGTGGGCTGTAAACAAGAGTTATTCACAATTTTTTTTCAAGGGTTATAAATTAGCTTCTGTATGTATATCTATAGCATCTAGATTTAGTAAATGTTTTCCCTTTAGTGATTTTGCATCATTTTTGTTCTCTGAGATTTAACTAAATATAAAATAGTTTTATATAAGATGTACATCACAGTCCTGAAAACATGGATCTGTAGTCCAGCAGAGAGGTTAGCTGAGGTACAGGAAAGGGGAAAGAAATGTTAGCATAATACTTTCCCCACCTCTGTTACAAAGACATAAATGTCTGCATGTTTATTTTTATTGTTATTTACCATGTTTATTATGGTTGTGTCTAGGAGCCAACCAAGAATGGCACTGTACAAATATGGAGTAAAAGACAGTCCCTGCCTCAAAGAGCTTATCACGTGAATAGATAAGACAGATAAAGGGATAGAGAGAGGGATAGGGCTTACAGTCTGAGTGAACAGTGCAAGGGTAGCAAATATGTTCATTCTGGAATTTTTGTTTTCTTGTATTTTAACCCTTTCATGGGGCTATGTTAGGAGGGAAGCAGCTAGATGGAAAGATAGGGAAAGGAAGGGGATGGAGCAAACAGCCAATCAATACAATGGAGAGAATGTTCAGAGTTAAAAGTGTAGGAAGCAGTCTGACCTCAGTGTCCACCAATCCCTGCTTTCTGCTGTGGCTGGCTAGCTGAGTGAATATATATATAATGAGAAATAGTGTATTTGCCGAAAATGCAGCTTTGGTCAACCCAAAATAATCTGTGAATTTGACCTGAATAGTTTCAGTGAGGAAAAAGGTTTTTAGAGTCAGCTTTGGAAAAGCATGTGTGTGTGTGATCCTTTTCGCCCAGCAGTTTGGGTAGTTGCCTGGGAAGAGGAAGATCCAGCTTTAAATCTCCACTCTGGAGTAGAGACTTGAAAACAGATTTCACTCCTCCCAGGTGAGCAGCCCAACCATCAGGCCATAGGCTGTGTTGGGGTGAGTTTCTCTCAATCTCTCTTGCTGAAGCTGTTCCACTGTGTATAAATACATAAATATTCATTGAACCAAAGGGTGTGAGTGACTCTGTAGCTTGATGATTAAGGCACTCACCTGGGAGGTAGTAGATGTGGACTAAAAGCCCTCCTCTGAATCAGGCAGAGAAAAGATTTGAATCCACGTCTTCTACCTCCCAGGTGAGTCTCTTAATAACCAGGACATAGAATCATTCTCTCTTTGGCTCACTTAATAGTTATGTATGTATACAAAGTGGAACAGCTTCAGCAATAAACACCTTTCTGGCACTCCAGAATACCCAAGTATTTGGGATGCACCTAGGCATAGTGCAATTTGACTTCAAGTCGCCTCACGTTGGAGATTCAAACTGCAATCACCCCCGTTCCAGGAAAATGCCCTAAAGATGGGATGTGTGTGCGCCCGTGCACACATGTTCATTTTCTGAAGCTGACTGGGCTTTTCTCATTGGCTAATAAATTCCAAACATCTTTGGAACTGAACTGAATATTTTTTCTGATTTTATTTTTTTTCTGGCCAAACTGAAAAATCAATTATTTAGCCCCTTCTACTGCTGACTTCAATCTCTGGCTGGCTTCTCCCTGCAGTTTCCATCCCAAAGCCTCCAGAGAGGAGGGGGGGGGTCTCCCTGTACAGTTCTGAGTCCTAGGGTGCTGGGCTCCATTTTACCACTTCCCTTCTCCAGTGCAACAATACCTGCTTGAACTACTTTCTGCAACTACTCTTCCGGCCTTAGTTTCTGGCTGACTCCTCCCTGCAGTTTTTCCCAAAGCCTACATATTTGGAGAGAGTGGGGCAGCCAAATGGCTCCAGTGCCCACAGTGGGGGAGTCTCCCTTGCATTGTTCTGGGATGGCCCGGATAGTGGTCAAAATCCAAAAGTTATTCATGTTTCCTTTTCCTCTGCTGTTCATCCCCTAATAGGCTTCATTTAACTCCTTATGAACACCAACATTCCAGGAACCCTCCCCCACACATTCTTCTCTGTAACCCCTCCTCCTTCCAGCCCCACATGTGTTTGAAAAGTGTTGTCTGCTTCTCTAAGCCTGTTTCTTCCACAAACAGCTATCATCAGTGAGTTGCTTCAGGAGTGGATCAGGCAAGGAGGTTTTTGCTAGTGATGTGACACCTGTGATCTGTTACTCTACTGGAGAATGTTGGTGGGTGTTGTATTTATAGAACTAAACAGAAATGGAACTCTCCTCCATCTTACTTTTGCAGCTTCATTGAAGCTCAGCTGAATATCCCTTAATATCCATAACATCAGTTCTCTTTCTAACTTGTTCCAGACTCTTATATTACTAATACTCCAAAAATAACATGCCCAATGGCCACCGCCGCCTCTATTTGATATCTCATTATGCGGCCTGGCACACTCTGTTGGACACAGGACTGGCTTCTCATTTCAAAACTCACATACTTTGGAGAGATGAATCCATGAGTGGATGGGGAAAGCACAAGAGAACAGTACATTTTTAAAAGAAAAACAGTCCTATTTGTTTTATATATATATAATGTGCTGTGTGTGGGGAAGTTTGAGGTAGAAGCGAAACTCAAACAGCTTAATGGGACTAAATCGGGGGGCCCAGATAATCTTCATCCAAGAATATTAAAGGAATTGGCACATGAAATTGCAAGCCCATTAGCAAGAATTTTTAATGAATCTGTAAACTCAGGGATTGTACCGTATGATTGGAGAATTGCTAACATAGTTCCTATTTTTAAGAAAGGGAAAAAAAGTGATCCTGGTAATTATAGGCCTGTTAGTTTGACATCTGTAGTATGCAAGGTCTTGGAAAAAATTTTGAAGGAGAAGGTAGTTAAGGACATTGAAGTCAATGGTAAATGGGACAAAATACAACATGGTTTTACAAAAGGTAGATCGTGCCAAACCAACCTGATCTCCTTCTTTGAGAAAGTAACAGATTTTTTTTAGACAAAGGAAACGCAGTGGATCTAATTTACCTAGATTTTAGTAAGGTATTTGATACCGTGCCACATGGGGAATTATTAGTTAAATTGGATAAGATAGGGATCAATAGGAAAATTGAAAGGTGGATAAGGAATTGGTTAAAGGGGAGACTACAACGGGTCCTACTGAAAGGTGAACTATCAGGCTGGAGGGAGGTTACCAGTGGAGTTCCTCAAGGATCGGTTTTGGGACCAATCTTATTTAATCTTTTTATTACTGACCTTGGCACAAAAAGTGGGAGTGTGCTAATAAAATTTGCGGATGATACAAAGCTGGGAGGTATTGCCAATTTACAGAAGGACAGGGATATCCTACAGGAGGATCTGGATGACCTTGTAAACTGGAGTAATAGTAATAGGATGAAATTTAATAGTGAGAAGTGTAAGGTCATGCATTTAGGGATTAATAACAAGAATTTTAGTTATAAGCTAGGGACGCATCAATTAGAAGTAACAGAGGAGGAAAAGGGCCTTGGACTATTGGTTGATCATAGGATGACTATGAGCTGCCAATGTGATATTGTCGTGAAAAAAGCTAATGTGGTCTTGGGATGCATCAGGAGAGGTATTTCCAGTAGGGATAAGGAGGTTTTAGTACCGTTATACAAGGCACTGGTGAGACCTCACCTGGAATACCGTGTGCAGTTCTGGTCTCCCATGTTTAAGAAGGATGAATTCAAACTGGAACAGGTACAGAGAGGGGCTACTAGGATGATTCAAGGAATGGAAAACTTGTCTTATGAAAGGAGACTCAAGGAGCTTGGCTTGTTGAGCCTAACTAAAAGAAGGTTGAGGGGAGATATGATTGCTCTCTATAAATATATCAGAGGGATAAATACCAGAGAAGGAGAGGAATTATTTAAGCTCAGTACCAATGTGGACACAAGAACAAATGGATGTAAACTGGCCACCAGGAAATTTAGACTAGAAATTAGACGAAGGTTTCTAACCATCAGAGGAGTGAAGTTTTGGAATAGCCTTCCAAGGGAAGCAGTGGGGGCAAAAGATCTATCTGGCTTTAAGATTAAACTCGATAAATTTATGGAGGAGATGGTATGATGGGATAACTTGATTTTGGTAATTAAATATTCATGGTAAATAGGCCCAATGGCCTGTGATGGGATATTAGATGGGGTGGGATCCGAGTTACCCAGGAAAGAATTTTCTGTAGTATCTGGCTGATGAATCTTGCCCATATGCTCAGGGGTTAGCTGATCGCCATATTTGGGGTCAGGAAGGAATTTTCCTCCAGGGCAGATTGGAAGAGGCCCTGGAGGTTTTTTGCCTTCCTCTGTAGCATGGGGCACGGGTCACTTGCTGGAGGATTCTCTGCTCCTTGAAGTCTTTAAACTACGATTTGAGGACTTCAATAGCACAGATATAGGTGTGAGGCTTTTTGCAGGAGTGGTGGGTGAAATTCTGTGGCCTGCGTTGTGCAGGAGGTCAGACTAGATGATCATAATGGTCCCTTCTGACCTAAATATCTATGAATCTAAGTTATGAACTTAGAAGTGATGCTGGAAGTCACTGGGACGCCTGTTGGTAGAATGTGATACAGAAAGGATGAGTTGCTTATCCAATCCTGTAAAAATTGCACATTTGGCTTGAGGATAGGTTTGATATTTGGTCAATTCTTATTTTTTACGGTTTGGGGTCAGGCTTCTTTTCAACATAATATAGTGACAGAGCGCACTATGAGGGTGTGATTTCTAACATGCATTACTGTGTTGGGCACTAACTGGTCTGGGTAGACCCTGCTAGTGCACAGTAACAGTTCCCTAGTCAGCTTCGACGTAGCACCATTTGAACAGTACTATTTTAGACCACCACTGCTAATTAAATACCTTTTACATCTCACTGCTGTCATGGAAAGAACATACGCACAATAATC